AAAAAAAAAAAACATTGCATAACGATATTAATAAATACAAAATATTATGGGTCACTGGGCTTGGTATTCGTTAACTCGGTGCTCGATAATTTTTTCTAGTATACTTTATTTGTGTAAAATAGTGTTACACAAACAAAATACATAGGAAAAGATTACCGAACACCGAGACACAGAGTACCAAGCTTCGGTGTGAAGACCCATATTAATACTATACTGCATGGAATATTTGCCTTCCATTTCAACTCTGTTCTCCATTAGTTGATAAGTTATTTAGAAGTGTTTTAGTAACTTCGTTTGGTTGCGACCGGTGCGGCACGTATACATTAGAATGGTTGTTCACCTTATGTTTGTGCATGTTACCATGCGATCTGAATGTCTTGGGACAAAATGAACAGGTATATAAATGTGTACCAGTATGCATTGTCTCATGTTCCTACGAATGGAGTAAATATTACAAGTTTTACATCGATTACTTAATTAATCAATTTACCCTTAAAGCCCGTGGATTTCTAAATTCTTTGTTGCACATTGCGCATGTGAAAACTTTGTCTGTGTGATAATACCGTATATGCGCGGAAAGAGCATGTCGAGTCGCCTTTTCCATACCACATTGTGGACACTTAAATTCTTGTCCAGATGCTTGGTCGCGATGTGCAATCATGTGCTTTCTTAGGCAGCGTGCATTTTTCAGCCACTTAAGACAAATTTTGCATTGTTCTTCCGGACGCGGAACTGTACTATGCATGGCTTCCATATGAGTAATGAGGTTCTGTTGCGTTTTAAGACATTTTCCGCAAACTTCACATACAGAGTCATAGGTATTCAAATGGACTGCCTTTTCGTGCTGCCGTAAAACTGCTGAATGGGTGAATCTTAAAAAAAATAAATAAATTTAATATACAATGGGGTCGTGCTTTTTAAAGGATTTTACCCCTTGTTACAAGTTTTGCAAATATAATTGCGTTCCGTGGTATGGCTAGACTTTATATGATAGTCTAAAATGTATTGTTTGACGAACTTCCGAGGGCACAATTTACAGGAATAAAGCAATTTTTCAGCGTCGGGATGTTTTGTATCCATATGATTTTGATAGTTGTTTCGACTGGCTAATTGCTTATTACAAAGAGTACATCTGCGTATGCAGTAATAAGAACAGAAAAAAGTAGCAAATCATTACCATTGGAAATCAAAATACGAGCCACTTTTATAAAAATAAAAACATAAATACTTACTTGAAAAAGTCTGGGTCCTTGTGCAGTTTCAGATGATCTACATACAATGTTCTTTTCCGATATCGATTATTGCAACAAGGTACATATCCCACACAATTGTGTTCCAGGCGAAAATGCTTCTTCAATTCATTGAAATCTTTAAGTGGTACCGAACACAGACAACAACTTAATTGCGTGTTTTCTGCTATAAATACGTCCAGTTCCCGTATTAATGCTTGCGTATCTAGTTTTCTCTCCTGCTTTTCTTTTGCCTTTGATTTGAGCCCTTCAAGGTCTCTCATTTCTTTTTTCGCTTTAATTCTTTTGCTTGAATGCTTTGTTTTGACAACTCCTTTCTCATTTTTTAATTTTGTCTTTTTTGGCTTCCTTTTAGTGTTTTTACAGGCTTTATTTTCGGATGTCATTAATTCGGTTAGAGGAACTAATAATATTTCTAATTATAAATTGCATCAATAAAAAGCAGTAAGTACTTACCATCTTCGTCCGATGAAGGTACTGGACTAAACAATGAATCTCGGTCCACCGATATTTCATCATCTTTCATGTCAGTTGCTTCAAATTCTAGCCCATCTGCGAACACAGCAGGGTGTAACACGGTCATGTCGATTTCCGGCTCGCGTAACTCATTACTTTTGGAGTCAATGGGAGAGTTTAAATTAGGTCCTGGGAAATCTTCCGTTTCAATGGCATCAATATCTGGTTTTATTTCAATACAAACTAAATGCGTTTGAAGAGTTTTTTGTTTCTCATCTATACTTAACCAAAACCTGTGGAAATCGAATAAATGTTGCCAACACTTTTCGCAAATTTTGTTAGAAATAATATCATCAGGCTGTACCTGTAAAGAAATATTAAGTAAATTAAATACCCTTATATGTATATAGCATTATTGTCTTACCTCGATATGAAAATATTTGGCAATGGTTTTAGCAATTTCGGTTTCTCCACTCATAGAGAAGATTTCGAAACTATTATGTGATTCCTCCAAACACAGACGGCAAATCATTTTTGACGAATCAAAAAATATTTCAGTAATTAATGGTTTTAAGTTTTCAGAAATTTATTTACCTTTCTGCCTCTTCTTAAAGGGTATAGACTGTTCACAGTTATCAGGCGAATTCACCTTGACAGTTATACCACGGACAGTTATGCACGGGGCCAATCGTAACAAATCGCGGCGAATTCGTAAGGATCTATTGCTTTTAGATGCTTGCGTTCAAGTGCATTATAATCGTTTGAATTCCTTGCCCATAGTCCCTTTCAGACACGTCAAGTCTTGCTTTCAAGTCTGCTCGTTCGTTGGCGAAGGAGGTGGGAAGAGTACAGATACCTCCGTACCGTCAATTCGTTTCAAGTTTTCTTGTCTCTTTTCGATGCTTCCCATTTAGGAACCAAGGACTTGAATTCAATTAAAGTTGACGCGTGTGGAAGCAAATAGAAAACACAAAAGAGAATGCGAAAAAATTGCATTCAAGACTTGACGTGTCTGAAAGGGGACATACAATAGATAATTAAGTGACAGTTCACTCCGTTCCTTTACTTCCATTATAATTCAGGCATTAACTGCCGTCCCTAAATTGGAGCGCTAAGCGTTGCGTTATCCATTGTCGACGAGTGTCAGCGCGCGCTATCCCCAAATCAACGCGTCGTAATTTTTGACGTTTTCTCAGATCCTCTCGTTTTTATTCTCGTTTCCTCTTTCACTTTTTTGTCCTTTCTCTTTCTTTCCGTCTTCCGCATCCAACTTCAACACGTAACGCCCTGTCAAAAATGAAAATTCCATTTGCTCGGCGTTAGCGCCGCGTTATTGTGGGATGCTTCATACAAATTGTATGGGCATGAGGATTTTTGACAGTTGTTTGGCGCTTGACGCGCCAATTTAGGGATGGCAGTAAGGCCTGTATGCAGCTCTCAAGAAAAGCAAAAACTCCATATAAAATGACGTACAAGAAATGGCTAAGAAATTTTCTTGAGTCAAATTTCCTTAAAGGCCTGTATGCACTTCTCAAGAAAAGCTAAAATTCCATACAAAATGACGTACAAGAAATGGCTAAGAAATTTTCTTAAGTCAAATTTCCTTCAGGCAGTACGCTGTTCTTAAGAAATTTGCTACGCTTTTTACTACGGTTTTCTAAAGTTTTTTAGGAAAGAGTGAAGCCTTTATGCAGCTCGCAAGAAAACGGTCAAGAAAAATTCGTAATTATTTCGTGTGTGTGTGTCCAAGGAATTTTGACATTTTTGAGACTTTACAGCCTGTTGCCTCACTCTTTCCTCAAGAAATAATGGAACGGGCATATATTTCTTTTGCAAACCTGGGTTGCCTTGTGCTCTTTTTTCACAAAAAAATTTAGAAAACCGTAGTAAAAAGCGTAGCAAATTTCTTAAGAACAGCGTACTGCCTGAAGGAAATTTGACTTAAGAAAATTTCTTAGCCATTTCTTGTACGTCATTTTGTATGGAATTTTAGCTTTTCTTGAGAACTGCATACAGGCCTTTATAAACTACAATTTTTTTTATATTTTAGATTTTGTTTTTGATCCGACACAAGCACGCGCCTGCCTCCGCAAGCACCCCGTCAGCCTATCGCCTATTAGATTTCTGTGGCTTTGTTTCTTTTCTTTTCTAGCAGATAGTTATCAGGAAGAAGAAGAATGAGAAAATTGAAAAAATTACCAGAGAACTATGGAAATAACTAAGTTTTTAAATCTTTTCTACTTAAAATTAAAAAAAAAAAATGAAAACAATTATTTTCTTTTTTTTTGTAGAGATCTCCCTAAACTAAGTCGAAAGTCTGAATGAATTTTTTTCATGGTTTCGATATTTATGGAAATAATTCAGTTTTTTATTATTTTCGACTTGGAAACTTTTTTTAAAAATACTAAAAATCTGAAAACGTCAGATATTCTCATCAATTAGTAAAGATCTCGCTAATCTAAGCCGAAACTATTTAACAAACTTTTCAACATTTTCAATATTTATATGGGTGGCAGCATCGCTACTCATGTGCCTATTTGGCCCCCACATTGTCATTTACATATCTAATTTATTAATAACTAAACCTAAATTTATAAACCACATGCGTATTTGTAAACTTCATTTCATTACCTACTTCTGCTACCAAATTTTTCATGCATCCAAAAAGACAAACAAATGAAAATGTAAGTATGTATGCATTTAAATAGTCTGTTCCTTTGAACTTCGGAACTGGAACTGTCAAACTACAATTTTACTCTCTCAAGTGAGAGTAAAAGGAGAACGATGCAGAAGTGCACGGGAACGCAAAAAGCACTATTTCCTGTAAAAACGTCAGTCGGTTTGTTTACATGGCATTGGTACAACGCTGATTTTGCTGAAATATCACTAAATAATTATTAAAATCTATACATATTCAAATATTTGGTTGTTTACTTCCATTTTTTAACAAATATAAGGTTATTTGCTTTCACCGCTTTCTGTTTTTGTTTGCACATGTAAATCAGCTGATCGTTTGACACTTTTCATGAACTTACAGGAAAAACAACTCCGGACTAAATCCTGTAACTTCTGACTAGGAACAGTTGCTCAATTACTCTCTCAAAAGTGTTCCCACTTACAGGTTTTATGTCAATAGGAACGACTTCCTGTAAGTTCTGACTAAATCTGTAAACCGGACTGCTATTGGAACAGGCTAATAAATGTACATATGTACATACATATATACGATTGATGTGCTTTCGTCTTCCCCTCACCGCTTCCTTCCACACAAATTATTCAATTTCTGCGAGTCGCCACCAGATTGGCACGTGCGCGAAACCATTAACCCTACGTTTACGAAATATTTAGATTTTCGCATAAGTTTGCATTTTGTAGGGAGAATAATATTAATTAATTTAAAATTCTGCATGTAACCATATTCTCGACAATACATGTCACTTTCATCAAGATTAACCAGAAAAATTGTGCTTCATTAACAGTTGGAACCAGCTGAAACCAAAAAAACTATGTCCGCTATAATGGATTAAACACAAACTGGAATTGACATTTTTTACACGCATACATGCATACACTCATATACACATGTACAGTGGAGTACCACTAGCTTGGACATTGCATTGCTTGTACTTTGATGTGTTTGAATCTTTTATGGTACTGAAGATTTGCTTACGGTTGAAAAATATTAAAAATCGTCCGTGCATATATGTAAATATACTTTATAAAAGTTTTGAAGTATAGAAATTTTTAATATTAACAAATAAATAAAATCATTTTTTGTATTTATACAAATTGTGTTCAAGGCACATTGACCCACCTGTACAAAAATTGTGGCGCGTCATGGACAAAAATTTTATAATTTCGGACCGAAAAATATGAAAACGAGCTAAGTTGCCACGTTACATTTGTGAACTTCCGATAAAACCAAATATGTTTGTGATTTTAGAACTTTTGATTTTATAAAAAAAAATATTGTTTTTTCCTGCAGAAAATGTACACTTTTATTTAATGGGTATTAAAATTACATCTCAAAAACTAGTTAAGGATTGAAATATTGATATGGAACATAGAAATCGAGTGTTTTGCCAAAAATTACCAAAAATTTCCAAAATTCGAGATAACTTATTTTCCTGGATATAGAGAAATAGTTTGCCACTTTTCACTTGGCTGGCCGAGATTTCTTCATCTTAAGATTTTATAATTTTTGGGTCGGATTGAAAAAGTTGCGCTTGCGGGTGATGAATTTGCGGGGAGATGTTCTGCGNTAATGGATTAAACACAAACTGGAATTGACATTTTTTACACGCATACATGCATACACTCATATACACATGTACAGTGGANAAAACGAGCTAAGTTGCCACGTTACATTTGTGAACTTCCGATAAAACCAAATATGTTTGTGATTTTAGAACTTTTGATTTTATAAAAAAAAATATTGTTTTTTCCTGCAGAAAATGTACACTTTTATTTAATGTTTATTAAAATTACATCTCAAAAACTAGTTAAGGATTGAAATATTGATATGGAACATAGAAATAGAGTGTTTTGCCAAAAATTACCAAAAATTTCCAAAATTCGAGATAACTTATTTTCCTGGATATAGAGAAATAGTTTGCCACTTTTCACTTGGCTGGCCGAGATTTCTTCATCTTAAGATTTTATAATTTTTGGGTCGGATTGAAAAAGTTGCGCTTGCGGGTGATGAATTTGCGGGGAGATGTTCTGCGGTTGTTTTTATGAATGAATTTACTTGGCCTTGAGAAATGCGCGCATGCGTTTATGAAAGAAATAGTTATTGTTGTATTTGAGTATGCGTTTGATTATGTGTATATGTATGTGCTGCCGTGAGTTGTAGATGTGTACATTTGTATGGATGGGCGTAGCATTTTGGCAGTAATATGCACATATGTACATACATATATATGTATGCATGTAAAAACGTTATCAATTAATGTTAAATTTATTTCGCCTCTGGCTGGGCTCTGTTAAAATTCGATTGACTCTGGCTGACCGCTCTTAAAATGCGCTTCGCCAGTTTTGTTGGTATTTGACAGTTTCCACGCTGATTCCTTCTTGGAGCTTCTCAATAAATATACGTTCTCTGATGTACAGTATCGGTCATATCTATAGCACGGCATTTCAAAGTGATATTGTGTGCAACTTATGTTTATTTATTTATTTTTGAGAATTTTCAATTAAAATACAGTTTCCTTTTTGGTTGTTGTTGTTTTCGACAGGGTGGGTGTATGATGTATTATGGAACGAATTTCCGTCATCCCTTGTCAAATTTGGTTTGGAGACAAACCGGTTTCGGCGTTGTGCCGAAAAATGACACTGAAGATGGCACAATGCCGAAACCGGTTTGTCTCCAAACCAAATTTGACAAGGGCTAAAATACAGTTCTTTCTCTAATAAACCCCATATAAACCCCAAGTTTAAAAATTTGTAGAAAACTTCAAAAAAGTGCAACAAATTTTCACCTAAATTCCAAACTTTTTTATCGAGGGTGTTTGAATTTTTCTGAATACATAGTTTTATAGCCCAATCAATTTTAGTCTGATAATGTGCAAGTTTGAAGTGACTAAAAGTTACCGTTGATTTTTTAGAATTTTTTTCCCCAAAGGTGTTGCGGTCTTTATCCATATACAAATAAATTGAGTTTATTCATTATATGAAAGCCAATGCGAAAAAAAATTTCTAAAAAATTAACGGTAATTCGTAGCCACGTGAAATTTGCACATTATCAGACTAAAATTGCACTGTGTACTCAAAAAATTCTAACACTTCCGAGAAAAAAGTTTGAAACTTAGGTGAAAATTCGTTGCCATTTTTTGAAGTTTTCTACAAATTGTTAAACTTGGGTTTATATGGGGTTTGTTAGAGAAAGAACTGTATTTTAATTGAAAATTCTTAAAAATAAATAGATATGACCGATACTGTATGTGTGTAAAAAATGTCAATTCCAGTTTGTGTTTAATCCATTTTAGCGGACATAGTTTTTTTGGTTTCAGCTGGTTCCAACTGTTAATGAAGCACAATTGTTCTGGTTAATCTTGATGAAAGTTACATGTTTCGTCGAGAACATGGTTACATGTAGAATAACTTCTTGCACTAGAAAAGATATGAAAACTGCATTATTTCCATAAATATTGAAAATATTGAAAATTTTCTCAAATAGTTTCGGCTTAGATTAGCGAGATTTTTACTAATGCTGGCAAAATCCGACGTTTTCTGATTTTTAGTATTNTGACCGATACTGTATGTGTGTAAAAAATGTCAATTCCAGTTTGTGTTTAATCCATTTTAGCGGACATAGTTTTTTTGGTTTCAGCTGGTTCCAACTGTTAATGAAGCACAATTGTTCTGGTTAATCTTGATGAAAGTTACATGTTTCGTCGAGAACATGGTTACATGTAGAATAACTTCTTGCACTAGAAAAGATATGAAAACTGCATTATTTCCATAAATATTGAAAATATTGAAAATTTTCTCAAATAGTTTCGGCTTAGATTAGCGAGATTTTTACTAATGCTGGCAAAATCCGACGTTTTCTGATTTTTAGTATTTTTAAACAAAGTTTCCAAGTCGAAAACAATTAAAAACTGAATTATTTCCATAAATATCGAAAATATGGAAAAAATTCATACAGACTTTCGACTTAGTTTTGTGAGATCTCTAAAAAAAGGAAAAAAAATAATTCTTTTCACAGTTTTTNATTTCCATAAATATCGAAAATATGGAAAAAATTCATACAGACTTTCGACTTAGTTTTGTGAGATCTCTACAAAAAAAAAAAAAAATAATTCTTTTCACAGTTTTTTTTTAATCCAATACCAATAATTTTTTACTTGAAAATAACACAAAAATTGGAAAATGTTATTGTTATGTACATATATGAGAGATACACTTAGGCACTTAAGCATAATATTCTACGTACACATACATACACACAGACGAACGAATAACGAAATGAACACTAGGTAAAACACTTGTATCACAAACGAATATCGATGGCTGAGTGGAAGATCGACCTATCTCGGCAGCCAGTTCGAAAACTCTCTCACCCCTATTGCGAATGTCGACTGGCAGCAAGAATGATAGAATAAATTAAATTTAAGTTAAATTTATTTTGCCTCTGGCTGGGCTCTGTTAAAAGTCAATTGTCTCTGGCTGGCCGCTCTTAAAATGCGCTTCGCCAGTTTTGTTGGTATTTGACAGTTTCCACGCTGATTCGTTCTTGGACCTTCTCAATAAATATACGTTCTCTGAAATTACGCTCACAGAGAGCCAAATAATGAAAAAGTACAGAAACTCAAAACTAGCAGAAACTAGCAAGTAATCAGCTGATGAGTGTATTTGACTATTGAAAATATTTGGCGCGAATTTATGTTTATCCATTTTGACAGCTGCTAGTTTCTGCTAGTAAAAATTTTACTAGGAGAAATTAGCAGGAGAGCCAAAAAAAGAAGAGCGTAAGATCGAGAGAGAGCTGCTAGTTTCTGCTAGTTTTTTGGGTTAAGAAACGCTTTCCAGCAGAAATTAGTAGCCCTGTTCGCGTACGCAGTAACCCGTACTAGCTTTACTGGTTTTTTACAGAAACAGAAAGGTGCTCTCTGCAAAAGGTGTTCAGCCCCTCTTCTTGGGCAACAGAGAAAGGAGTAGTGAGGGTTATAATCGTTTTGGAAAAAATCCAAGTTTCCGCTGTTTTCAAAAAGCTCCCAATGGTCTTTACGAAGGGGAGGGGGTGAGGGGTGACTTTTCTTAAAGCGGCGTTCATCCTCTTTCGTTTAGGGTGGCTTTGGGGAGCCACACCCCCTCCCCCTCCGCCCTCACCCCTAAATCACTGTACAAATATCTAAGGATTTCCCAAAAATTGTTTAAAATTAGTGTCTAGCCGCCAAAATGTAATTAAACAAACGCAAAATCATACATTTTTCACAATTTTCTAAAACTTCGCTACACCATCGAAAGCAAAGTTCTGTCCGACAGAAGATCCGATACTCAACGAAAATTTCGACACAGTTGCATAGCTCATAATGCAAATTNATACACCATCGAAAGCAAAGTTCTGTCCGACAGAAGATACGATACTCAACGAAAATTTCGACACAGTTGCATAGCTCATAATGCAAATTTCACTTTCGATCTTCCATAACCAGCGAAGATCGAATCGAATGTAATTCATAATAAGGGCCAAGATCGGCAAACTACATCCATGGAGCCAAACTTACGGCACTTCTCATTTGACAATGTAGATCACGCTGAGTGTTTTTGACGTATGTCATTCTTGGTTGTAAACCAATTTAAAAATAATAATCAAATGCTTTACTTTAGACGCAACCATACTTTTTAGTTTCATTCCCTAACTCGCAAGAAGTTGCAAGAATTTGCAGGAATTTACCAGAAAGCATTCCCGTGCTCAGTTCTCTGGCTTCTTTTGCCTTTTGACAGTGTTACAGGTTTTAACCCAGAAAGTTGGGGAACGCAACTTTTAATTTAACTTTTACATATAAAGTGAGCTCTAAAGTTAAACGTCACTTGAGAAAACGGCCCTCAAAGAGCTTTTTTAAAGTAACATTTTCATAAAAATTTTCAGAGCATTTAAAATCTTATTAATTTTTTTTATCGATTCGTATGTAAGTTTTCTACTTTTATTAGAAAAATCCCTAATAAATAAAATAAATAATTGTATAACATTAATATTAAGGGTTCTATTTTATACGAAAACCCAGGATACCACACACACAGAAACCACATATTTTACAATTTCAATTGCATAAATGTAGAGCTAAGTCTCGTATCATTTTTACACATTCATGTTCCTGGCATACGGGCGACGGTAGCGTCACCTTAATTCACAAAGACTCTAACCAACAAATTTTTAATTTTACAGGAGAAGAAATAACATTACGGGCCTTCATCTAAAGTGATAAACTTGATAAAATGATAAACATATCATTTTGATAAATGAACTGTCAAACTTTGTATGGAAAGCTATTTAACCAGAGTGTATCACTTTATCAAACGATTTTGGTGGATAAATGTATAAATTTCAGCAAAATTCGACCCTGGCGGGTTACGAGCTGGGCCGCTTTTACTACGAACACAAAAAGGATATGAACCCAATGGAGAATGAAACATAACTAGAGAAATAAATCAAATAATAAAATTTTTTATGTAATATTTACCAAGGTGCCTTCAGAAAGAATGCGAACATACCCGGTCATAATTTTATCATGAACGTGTTTTTTGCTAAGGAATTATTGCAAGCATCAATTTTGAATAAATTCGCTTCTGTATTAGCTGATTTATCGAAGATTCCATATTTCTCTAAATTACCGTTATGTGTGGGTGTGGTTATTGTCCGATTTTTTAAATTTTCAGCCGTTTTCTATATTGTACCAAGGCTAACAACTGTGCCAAGTTTGGGAGAAATTGGTTTAGCGGTCACCAAGATATACAAATGTAATCATAAGTGGGCGTGGCTACGACCATTTTCCAAAAATTTATACTATTCTTATTTTACGTCCAAAAATCATTGTAAATATCAATTTTCAGTGAATAAGCTTCAATATTAACTAAAATGTCGCAATATCGTATTTCTGAAAACTACCGTTATATGGGAACATACCTTAGGTAAAGGGCAATCTATATACCAAATTTCGTTGAGATATCTGAATTTTTGCTCGAGTTTTCGTGTACACGGGCGCACGGACGGACGGACAGACAGATAGACATGGCTTAATCGACTTCTCTTTTCATTCTGATCATTTATGTATACATTTGTCTATATCTATCTCGATTCATTTTGGCTGTTACAAACAACCGTTATGGGAACAAAGTTATAATACCCTTGTGCACAAGTGCGCTAGGGTATAAAAACAGGTAGAACTTTTTAAAAAATAGCATGTAACACCGTTGTTTACAATGTTTTTTTGAAGGTGTATTTTAATACATCCCACCAAAGTCTGTGATAAAATTAAATTCCGAAAAAAGTGTTGGTTAGGCCCTTTGTGAATTAAGGTAACGCTATATCGCATGGAATAGTTGCCTTTAATTTCAACTCGGTTGTCCATTGGTTGATAATCTATTTAGGAGGGTTTTAGTAACTTCGTTTGGTTGCGACCGGTGAGGCACATATACATTAGAATGATTATTGACCTTATGCTTGTGCATATTACCATGCGATCTGAACGTCTTGGGGCAAAATGAACAGGTATATAAATGTGTACCAGTATGCATTGTCTCATGCTCCTACAAATAAAGTAAATATTACAAAATTTACATCGATTGTATGCAATCATAATTTTACCCTTAAAGCCTGTGAATTTTTGAATTCTTTGTTACACATTGCGCATGTAAAAACTTTATCTGTGTGATAATACCGTATATGCGCGGAAAGAGCATGCCGAGTCGCCTTTTCCATACCACATTGCGTGCACCTAAATTCTTGTCCGGAAGCTTGATCACGGTGTACAATCATGTGTTTTCTTAGGCAGCGTGCATTTTTCAGCCACTTCAGGCAAATTTTACATTGTTCTTCCGGACGCGGTACTGTGCTATGCATTGCTTCCATATGGGTAATGAGGTTCTGTTGTGTTTTAAGACACTTCCCGCATACATCACATACAGAGTCATAGGTATTCAAATGGACTGCCTTTTCGTGCTGCCTTAAGACTGCTGATTGGGTGAATCTTAAGCAAAGAAAACAACAATTTAATATAAAAAATGGTGCGCGGCTTTTTAACAGATTTTACCCTTTGTTACAAGTTTTGCAAATATAATTACGTTCTGTCGTATGGCTGGACTTGATGTGATAGTCTAAAATATATTGTTTGACGAACTTGCGGGGACATAATTTACAGGAATAAAACAATTTTTCAGCGTCGGGATGCATTGTGTCCATATGAATTTGATAGTTGTTCCGACTGGCTAATTGTTTATTACAAAGGGTACATCTACGTGTGCAGTGAAAAGTACCAAATTATTAGCATTGGAGATAAACATTCAAGAAACTATGTTAAATGTAAATTTTCTAAACAAATAATTACTTGAAAAAGTCTGGGTTTTTGTGCAGTTTCAGATGATCTACATATAATGTTCGTTTCCGATATCGATTATTGCAACAAGGAACATATCCCACACAATTGTGTTCCAGACGAAAATGCTTCTTCAATTCATTGAAATCTTTAAGTGGTGCCGAACACAGGCAACAACTTAATTGTGTGTTTTCTGCTATGAATACGTCCAATTCTCGTATAAATTCTTGAGCATCCTGTTTTCTGTCCTCCTTTTCTTTTTCTTTTAACTTTAGCTGTTCACTGTCTCTCATTTCAATACTCGGTTTAATTCTTTTCGTAGAACTCTTAGTTTTTTTTACAACTCTATTTTCACTTTTTGATACTATCTTTTTTGGGTTCCTTTTAGTGCTTTTACGGGTTTTACTTCCAGATTTCATTAATTCGGTCAGAGGAACTAATAATATTTGTAATAAAATTGCCATCGATAAAAGGAATAAGTACCTACCATCTTCGTCCGATTGCAATATTGAGGAAAAAATTGAATCCCGGTCCACTGATGTTTCATAATCTTCCATTTTAGATGCTTGAAATTCTAGTCCATCTGCAAACACATTAGGGTGTAACACGGTCATGTCGATTTCCGGCTCGCGCAACTCATTACTTTTGGAATCAATGGGAGAGCTTAAATTAGCTCCTGGGAAATCTATCGTTTCAAGGGCATCAATATCCGGTTTTATTTCAGTACAAACTAAATCCGTTTGAAGGGTTTTTTGCTTCTCATTTATACTTAACCAAAACCGATGGAAATCGGATAAAGTTTGCCAACACGTTTCGCAAATTTTGTTAGAAATAGTATCACCGGCCTGGACCTGTGAAAAATATTGAGTCAATTTAACACTCTTTTACAGTATCCGACGGATACCATCCTTGGCTGTAGTCCGATTCGTATCGTCATAACAAGGGAGTTTGAAAGATTAGATTCAAGCGAATGGTATCCGTAAAACCGGAAGAGCTATGTATCCTACAAATTACATTCGCACGAATCTTAAGCTTCCAGCCAGATATTGTGTGGATAGCAAACGTCGGATACCACATTTAGCCAGGATTGTCTTACCTCGATGTTAAAGTATTTGGCAACAGTTTTAGCAACTTCGGTTTCTCCATCCACATAAAAGAATTCGTACATAATATTATTTGATTCCTCCAAGCACAGACGGCAAATCATTTTGAACAATCAAAAAATATTCTAGTTTTCAGAAATTTATTTACACTTCTTCCTCTTCTAAAAAGATAATTGCTGTTCACAGTTACCAAGGCGTATTCTTATTAGGTTGCAGTGTTGCCTAATTTTAACAATGGTATATGTATGTAGGCGAAGACGTCGATAACGATATTTATGGCACTCAAGCCTGTCAAACGATCGTAGGGGAACAGACTTGGCTGAGCAGATAGGCGATTCGACATTCTGCACAATGAACGACGACGCACCCACCAGGATTATGGGCCGGTTGTTCAATGTCTGGTTATCACTACTTGCCGGTTAGACATCATTATCGACGTTTTTGTCACCATGCTTATAACATGTGATCGATAAAGCAGTCGTTGTATTTAACAGGAGCTTCTACCTCTGATTTGTGCAAATCAGACATTGAACAACCGGCGCTTAAAGTTCCTTTTGCAAAATTTTCCTTTTAGCTAAAGTGTAATTTAAATGTTTTAAACAAGAAGTGTTTTCATAACAGAATTGCAATTGAATAATAACAAGAGGTTAATTTATATGGAGATACAAAGCTGGCAATGCTGATCTCGGCAAAATTGCATCAGCTGATTGTCATAAATATGTAATCCTAACTACGAAAATTACATTTTTTTTCTTACACCCTTATACCAGTCCCCACCAAAAAGTTAACCATCTCAAATCGAACTTAACCACATTACTAACTATTGCTGTCCACACTGCGTTTTGAGGTTTATAAAACAGTAAGGGCCGGTTGCTCAAAGCCTGGTTGACACTAATCCCCGGTTAAACATCGTTATCGACGTTACCGACACCATGTTATTTGCATGGAGCCGAAAACGTCGATAACGATGTTAATCGGTGATTAGTGTCAATCAGGCTTTGAGCAACCGGCCCTAAAAATGTAGAGTACAGTGTTCGGACCTCCAAAACTTGATTCAGGACTAAATCGATTCAAAAATCGGAGCAAAAACAAATTTTCCGTCTGGAATGAATTTTTTACTTTCGTTTCTAACATTAATTGTTTAAATAAATATTTTATATTCATGCAAAAATAGGAACGTATGTTACATATTTAGGTAATTTTTGGCATTTTATATAAAGTAGAACGTATCTAACACTTCATTTTTTAAAGAGCAATAGGATCTAAACCTTCTCACCTTTATATAAATCTCATTCTACATATATTTTTTAACAACTTAAGGGCAGTTTACTCAATATCTGGTTAACACTTATCTGCGGTTAACATTCTTATCGACGTCTTCGATTCCATGCATACAACAGGGAGTCGGTAACGTCGATAACGATGTTTAACCTGTGGTTAGTGTTAACCAGACATTGAGTAACCGGCCCTTAGTAAAGTTCTGCATCCGCCAATTTCTACAGCACAACATCAAAAATTAACGAAGTTACTTTATTGACGCATTGCTATGAAGGAGTTACTTTTTAACAGTGAGATTTGGCTAACTTTCACTGAAACTGGTGGTGAACACTCAAAAACGGTCCCAAGAGGGGCAAAACATGACTGAAAAAAACGGAGTAGATTTGAAGTCAAGCGGAGTAGAGCAGTAGATTTCAAATTTTTTCAAAAACAGGAGTAAGTATAATCTGATCTTAGTGAAGTCCAAACACTAGTAGGAACGATTTTTTTTTTAATTTTAACGCTAAAGACCCACAGATGTCGGGAAAACACAGGGTTGTATCAAACTTTCGACGTGGTTTCGAGTTGGTAAGCTTTTAACCATCTCAGTGAAATGGTTAAGTGCTGTCATTTTTATATGGCGAAGCTACACTAAATCAAGTGAAACCCGAATTTTCGTAATTCGTAATTCGTAGCTACGTTACGAAAAACCCAAAATCGACATGCTGCAACCCTTGCGGAAAAATGTGCAGCATTGCCAGGTATCAGTTGGTTTTCGAACTCAGCTGTATGAAGGAAAACAAAGTGTAAAATAATTTTAAAAAAACCTCATCATGTGCTTGTTTATAGTAAAATTTATTGATTTTAAATATTTTGAGGAAAATTATGGATTCTGGTGCATTTTCAGTTATAGCAGCGGAGTAAGAGCGCGCTATGGCAATGTGGAGCTGCCGGGCACAGTAACCATAGGCGCATCTATGTCAGCTTCTGGTTGAATTGTTGAACCACAAGCCAGAACTCCTCCTATGCCTGAAGAACTGGTTCCCAATCCAGTTAATGCAATAACAGCTTCTTCCAATCCATTGAAAATATGCATTTTGTTAGGTCCATGTTGTTGTTTTTGTAGCAGCATACAAATTCCCCAAAGACTTTTTGGGGAGTGTTGCTGGAGTGACAGTCCTTGGCCAGATATAAATCTGGGTCGTTCCGGTTACGTAGACCCGACTGTCGTGGGAACGTGTTAGGTCCATTACCTGTTGCGCTTGCTTCTGACTTCGGCCGCGCTTAGGGATTACAACTCTTAGGGCCGGTTACTCAATGTCTGGTTAACACGAATGTCCGGTTAAACATTGTTGTCGACGTATTCGACTCCATTCATATAACAGGGAGTCGGTAACGTCGATAAAGATGTTTAACCAGAGCTTAGTGTTAACCAGACATTGAGTAACCGGCCCTTACTATTATTATTGTTGGGGATAGAGCACTGCGACCTTAAGATCTATTGTGCCCCCTTCATGGATTATAGTGTGTCTATTAATCCAGTATCCGAGAGAAACTTTAGTATAGAACATACGTCTACGGATTTCACTTCGCCTTTGGTTATCAGATGTTCACCCAGGTGCCTCTTGCGTTTATGCATCAGTGCAGGACATTCTTCTAAGATGTGCTGTGCAGTCTCGTTTTTCATCCTGCAAAATCAGCATCGCTCATGCGAGTAAATTCCCAGTTTAGTCAGGTGATAGTTCAGCCTGCAGTGTCCTGTCAGAATTGCTGTAACAATTCTTAAGTTATTCTTTGATAAGTTCATACATTCCCTGAAGCATTTTAGGTTATATGTTCCTAAAAGTGCTTTGGACTGCTCTAAACCAGGTAGATTATCCCAGTAGTGATTCCGCTGAGCTTCTTCCTCTAGCCGAACTAGTTCAGAGAGTGCCCCTTTTCCGAAGCCGCAGGAAGGTTCTGGACCGGTGAAAGGGGTTGATGCACCTTTCTTCGCTAGTTTATCGGCAATCTCGTTTCATTTAATACCAATATGTCCCGGAATCCAGAGAACCCAAACCCGATTGGTCAGATCAAGAGTATTCAGCTTGTCGAGGCACTCCATCGCCAGTTTAGATGTTACCTGGTGAGATCTGAGGGCCTTCGTCAAGATCGTGATGTTCTGATTCCGGTAGTTTCGCTTGATATTAAAGTCCTCGCAACTTTCTATGGCGTATGTTTCAGCCTGGAAAATAGACATATGTTTCCCCATGTTTTCCGAGTATCTTAACCTCGGTCCTACTACCCCTATCCCGGTACCCTCTTCGGTCAATGCGCCATCAGTGTACCAGGTAATCGTGTTTTGGTTTATCCGATATGTCTCGGTTATGCCTGCCCAGCTTTTCTTATTACTCAGTTCAGTCTTAAACCTCTTTGTAAAGGTGAACCTCGGATGCATGGTATCCCTCGGTATTGCAATGTCAGGGAACTTATTCGTAAGAATATATAACTTCCCACGACCAAGACACCCTGCTGCCCCGATGTTGGTACCAGTCATCCGTAGTAAAGCTCTTTCGCCTGAGCCTGTATGTAAATATGACGAGGGGTAAGATCTAAAAGAACCTCCAAGGATGCGGTTGGACAGGTTCTCGTGGCTCCCGTTATGCATACGCATGCCAGCTTTTAAATCTTGGAGAGCACTTTGGTTGCTCCAAGTTGTGAAGTTCTATCGGTCCAAACGATGGCTCCATAAGTTATCATGGGTCGTACTATTGTCGTGTAGATCCCTCTCAGTATCTTTGGTGTGCAGCCCCAACTCTTTCCTGCCATGGACCTACACGTCATAAATGATTTTATAGCTTTCTTCGCAGTTTCTTCCACGTGTGCTTTCCAGAGTGTAGTTTTTGGTCTAGTATTACTCCTAGAAATTTAACCTCTTTTTGGTACATGATGTTGGTTCCATCTAGCATTATCGCTTTTAGACTATCAAGTTTGTATTTCCTTGAGAATGGTATTATAATGGTTTTTGCTGCATTTACGTTCAGGCCCACTTAAGCACACCATTTTTTGGTTACGTTCAGCCCTAGCTGGATTCTATCACACAGGTGTTTTCGAATTTCCCCCTGCATAATATTATAATGTCGTCGGCGTACCCCTGGCAGGTTAGTCCAGTATCTGTTAGCTCTTGGAGCAGTCCGTCGACGACTATATTCCATAGTAGTGGAGATAACACTTTACCCTGTGGACAGCCCCTTGTTGTTCCGGCAACAACCGTATTATTCGTACAGCTTTGTATTTCTACCCTTCTGGTGCGGAGCATGCAGTTGTTTGAAGGTATTCACCGCGCACCTGAGCCGGGGCTCGGAGCATATTTCCTTAGCCACTAACCAGTTTCCTCCGCTTATTTTACTGCACTGCTCAGTCCGATCTGTTTCGGAATGAGATGTAGATCCTGNGTTGTTTGAAGGTATTCACCGCCCACCTGAGCCGGGGCTCGGAGCATATTTCCNCTTTGTATTTCTACCCTTCTGGTGCGGAGCATGCAGTTGTTTGAAGGTATTCACCGCGCACCTGAGCCGGGGCTCGGAGCATATTTCCTTAGCCACTAACCAGTTTCCTCCGCTTATTTTACTGCACTGCTCAGTCCGATCTGTTTCGGAATGAGATGTAGATCCTGGGAAGTGAGTATCTATGAGAAATTTGATCTTCTCCTCCTCGCTCCCAGTGAAACTCCCATCACACTTCCGTAGACTTGCGGACGAAATACAGTTCGTTTTTGCCATTACCTTATAGAGTCTTGTACCCTCCGTAGTATCTTTTATGCTTTCACAGAAGTTCCTAAAGCTTAAACGCTTAGATTCCCTTATTTCTTTGTTGTACAGAGTTAAGGCGTTTCTGTATTCTGACCACTCCCCGGTTCGTTTTGCTCGATTGAACAGTTTCCGGACTTTGGTTCCGAGTTTACTT